GTCGCGAAGAGACTAGGTATCATCAAAGAGACCGACGACGAGGCGGAGGCCGAAGACTACGACGAATACGACGCAGAGTACGAGGATGAGGTCTATGAAAACGAGCCCAAGCTATGACTCTCTCTCTCTCTCTCTCTCTCTCTCGCGGTTTTCCAAGCTTACCAATACGACGAGATCGGGGACGCGCGGCGTCATTCATCATCCCAGTCATAGATCCGTCACGAGATCCGAAGTATCTTTCTCGATTCACATCCAGAGTCGACGTACAAATCAGTTCCACGATACATGAGTCACATAAGCAGACTTGTGCGGATCGAACTTCCGATTGAATAATCTATTTTTCTTCTTTTTGCACAAACTGTTTCAAGAAAAAATCGTTACAAACAAGTAAAATTGAATTATGAATACGTTGAAATTTTGCCGCGTTATCAATTAAAATCAGTAGATGAACGGATTAATGTTCGGCAACAAAAAATTAACGATTATTGAAATTAAAGTATGGGGATATTTATTAAATGATTATTGCAAAATTATTGAAAAACGATAAATATTAACTTTATCACTGGAGATTCGGCGCATCGAGTCCGATTTCTTGAAAGATCTCAATAATCTTTTCTTTTTTACAGATGTGTAAACTGTGGATAATGTAAGAGAATTTTAATTATTTAGAATTATAAAAAATTTCTGGCCTTTTCAGTCTTTACGTTATTAAAATTTTGACGTTATTAAAATATAGATATACTGTTAATTGTGCTAATGGAACAATAGCAGGGGAGAAACAGCGTCTTGTGAGCGTCACGAGGAAAATACCGCTGCATATATATATATATATATACAAATCTGGGAATTAGTTTCTACAAAATGAATAGATGAACAATCGCGGAATGCAATTAAATTTGCATATATATTACAGTAGTAGCTTTAATATCTAGTCGAATATTTGCATTTTGAATATTTTCCTTTTAAGTTTTGTTACTTTTCTTTGCAGTGAGAGACATTTTACAATTATTATACTATTATACAAATATGATCGTAAGTATTTTATGTGTATTTTTTAATATATTATATTATAATATTAATTATACATATATTTATTATATTATATATAATAATTTATTATAATATAAACACACACACACATTTATTCCGCAAAACCATCTTATCATATTCTCTAATCAACTTATCACATTTATTTCCATCAGTTCTATAAATTCTAAAAAAAATCATGAAAATGTTTATTCATTTAACAAAAGTTTGCGAAAATTTAAGCTTACTTTAACATTTATTTAAATTTTATTCACGAAAAGTAAAAGCGTGACACAAGAATATACCAGAGCGCGACATTTATTTACTTCTCAAAGAACGGCCACACGCGGGTGGAGAGCTAAAATTCCGAAACGCTCGCGTTTCCAAGAGACATTTTCCGGCAGTCCCTTAAATTTTCTTCGAGCACACACGCGAGAGTACGCGATTATCTCCTGGCAGCAGAGCGAGCGACATTTTTGCGCGGCTTACTACTTTCCGCGCGCGGAAAAGATTGTCCTTACAATATTTTCCCAGACGCACTTGCCACATGCAAAATTCACACTCGCTATGCAAATCCCTTTCATCCCCTTTGCAATCCACGTATACACCCACACACATACACACACCCACATACACACCTATACATTCTCGCCGCTTCGCAGTCGCGTTTCGTCGTTTAAATCGCGAGGACGTTAATCGTCTCGACGGCGGCAACGGCGGTGGGCTTCAACGACTCGATAATCGCGCGATAAAGCCCACTCGAAGGAGAAATAATAGTCGCTAAGAACTTCCGCTCGCGCACATTACGAACCAACCGTCCCGGCGCGCGTGAGTAATCTGCATTTCATAAATTTTAACACGTCGCTCGATTTGACTCTCTCTCTCTTTCGGCGACGTCGAAAATTATTCTCTCCGCGGGAAGTTAAATATTTTTGCGCAGAATATATAAGTCAGACACCGATGAAAAAATAATCGGTTTTATAGCAATTCTCTTTTCGCTTATCTCTTGGATATCGGTTTTTATTCAAATCGTTTTATCAAAAAAAAATATCGAGAATAGAAAAGAAAGTTAGTCTTAAGTTTGTTAGAATCGCCTTTTATAATTTCGAATTTTAATATCGCGATTTTTTCCGAACGGAGAATCGACTGCGGCGAGTTCGTCTATCGGGTGTCCGAATTGAATCGAAGATTCGACCAAGCGACTTGAACCCGGTTATTTTCGGCGATGCGTTATTTTAAGACGGTGCGCGTCGTGACTATGCGGGGTGTCACGGAATCAGTTTACGGGGGAGCCTCGTCGAGACGAGTCGTTTTCCGCACGCTTGGCGGTCAGGCCCGGAATCCAAAACCGAGTCTCATCCCGGATCTTTTTGCGGAAATTTATTCGGGAACTTTAATCACGACGCGTATGTGTAATGATGTAATGGGATCGTTGCCCAGAAACGATCAACGAGGTCATCGCATGCAAAGAAGCAAAAGAGGAGATCCTCGAGAATTTCGTAATCGCGGTGGAGTATACGATCGACGGGTGGATGCTTCCGGGAAAATGATCTACAAGAGAAGAAACGAACGGTGTTTTAAACTTATAGCGGTTCCTCAACACGTGGCGGTAGGTCTCTCGTAATCGGTCTGTCTGGTGCACCCCAGCCGCGTAAATGTATACCTATCTAAGTATAGCTTGCGTGAAACGCGAGCATAAACGTAGAAATCCCGAGTGTCAATGAAAATTTCGATGATTACGGTGCGCGAAGCGAACAGCGCCGATTCATCATCTATGTCGATAATCTTCATCGACTCCGCTCGATACCTCGATTTTTCTAATTTTTATCGTGGCTCTCCACTGAAGATACTTATGGATGACTTTCGTTCAGCAATCGGGATAACGGTAAAACCCTTGGAGAGATGGACCTTCATATTAATTTTGATAAACGAACCGGCGTCGAGCGTTTCGTTATTAACATCAATATCGATTATGCGATTTGGACGTATAAAAGATTTTAATCCGTCCTAAGTTTATCGTTCAAGTCGCAAAGAGATCGATACCTCGCGTTTATTATTAATTTATAAGAGACACGCTCGAATGAATCTTGCTTTTGTATCCCGGTGTGCGAGAAGAGTTTGGGAAAAAAAGCGTGGGGAATTTAATTAAAAAGATTCGCGTCCCCAACGGTTTCAGGGAGATCGTTGATCATTTTTCGTGGGATCGTAAACAGTTTCACAATAAAATTTGTTAAACGGCCAAGTGGCTCGTCGTCGTCGTGTTTTCGATTCCCCACGGACGAAATCGATACCAGATATTCCTGGGAAGAGACAACCACCGCGGAGGAGACCCCCGAAGGAAATGTGACGTTTTCCATTAAATTCACCCGGCGTAATTCTCCATTAGACCAGGTCGGTGCAGTAAGAACTCGCGATCTTCTTATACGAAAGATCCGTTATATATGAGCTGCCCGTTGGCTCGGTAATAACGCCATCGGTTAATCGATCGTTGCGAGCAAAGTGTGTCTTTTTTCCTAGGCTATCGACTTGAAAAATATGATTTAAACAAAGTCGATCGTCGCGTATATATCGTATTCTTATTCATTAAGCGTTTTTTTTGCGAGAAATCTGTGTAACTCGCGATAGATAATTTAATAAGATATTTTAAAGTCGAGGAGACAAGTGTCAGTTTTATAAAAAACAATTATTTCGCGAATTATAATCCAATTTTTATGCCAACCGATTATCCCGAAGGATATTTACGACTTATTCAAGCTGTGGATTAGTGAGCGGACTAATTCTGTAAAATAAAGCTCCTAAGCTGCGGTTTTCAAGCGACAATGCGGTTTCCTGAGAGACTTTGCGAGAGGCATTCCGCGATTGTCGATAAATCGTTAGGAGGCAAGGATCAAAGTCCCTAAGCTTCCTTTCGCGAAAGGATCCTCGCGAAGCGATACGACGGGCGAGGGCTCGGCGAACCGGAAGCGCGATGCCCGCAAATCGGTGATCCGGTCAAGGTGACGTCGTCGCCTGGATGGAGACGGACAAACCGTCCCGCTCGTCGGGCAGCAATCGGAGTTGGCAGCGCGCAAGTTATCGCGGTCGCAGACGACGGAAACGCAGGCGGAAGCCATGGGGTGAGCGGATCGCCGACTGGACCAGGGCGCTGATAGCCTTTCTCTTCAGCAACGTCGGTATCGTCTGCCTAGTGGTGGGCTACACCATTGCGGGCGCCTTCTTGTTTGGCCACATCGAGGGTAAGGCCAACCCGGACATTGCCGACGAATTTATCAGATGTAGGAACCTGACGGCCGCCACTCTCTGGGAGTTAACTTCCAAGGTGAATGATTTATCCGCATTGTACTTTCTCTCCTCTCTTTGACAGCCCACAGTAGTAGAATCGTGAATACTCGAAGTATCTCCGAGGAGAACGATGTTCCGCTTAGATAATCGCGAAATTATTCAGTTAAAGATAAGATAAAATATATATAAGTGTGTCTGAGATCGGATGAAGATTGTCCTGTTTTAAATTCATCTATGTAAAAAAAAATGCGATTATAAATTTTCATTTAGATAACTTTAAGAAAATAATATTTTTAAGACGAACACATTCAGAATATAAAAATAATACTCATACTTTTTTTTTTATAAATCTTTACTTTTTAAAAATAAGAATTTTTGACGGAAAAGAACTTTTATAAGAGGATTACGTATATTTTAATAATCTATAAAGATAAGATGATGCGATTATTTTATTTAGATGATTACATCATGATTATTCAGAAATTTTTATTCAGATAATGGAAAATAGACTGTTCCGTGTATATATCTGGACCGCGCTCTTTTTACGACCACCCGGGTTTCTTTCGTACGAATTTTCACACGTCTTTGTTTGGTTGAAACGTCAGTTAAAGTTACGAGCGTCAGTTCCGGACTCGACGTATACAATAACAGAAACGATAATCTACGTTGAAATATTAGATTCGAAATATTAGATTCCGAGATATGAAGTTTGAGATTATTATAGGTTTCCCATCTGTGTGTGTGTGTGTGTGTGTTTATTAATATCGCCGATGGCAATTTCTCTCCTTCATTAATATTCTGACATCGCTGATATTGTATATAGGAAAATGTGTTCTCGGAGAAGCTATGGAAAGCAAAGGTGAGGGACATTCTCGAGAATTATCAGAAGAAAGTGGTGTTGGCCATAAAAAATGGATACGACGGTGTGGAGGATAAGTGGAGTTTCGCTGGCGCCTTTCTGTATTCCCTCACTGTGATAACGACCATCGGTGAGTGTTCTCTTATCTCTCTAATTGTCAGTATATATACTTTTCAAATCTCAAATTTATCATTAAATAATTTATTCGGTAAAAAAATTAGCAATATATTCGAATATTTTAACTTTTTTTTTATCCAGCAAAACTGAACGAATTACATAGCCTCGCGGATACATTCGCTTTCGTCTATGATAATAAAACGCGAACGCGTTAGAGCGAGGAAGCTCTTGAAAAATGTAGACAATTTACTCGCTCCCGGATACTTGGTCGTACTAAACAGAGCGCGCTTATTTGCGCTCTTAATGCCCCGACTAATGCCCACTTTTCTCGTCGCGACTGATAAATCTCCTTAAGTTAAGATAAAGGCTCCTATGCCGGCTAGGAAGGAAGAAACGTTAGGAGGTATAAATAGGAAGCGTTTCAGATTTTTAATTCAACAATATAAAGTGTTGACAGGCGACTCTTTTAATACTTTTAATTAGCCGTGATTAAATCATTTAGACGATTTATTTGCGAATAAATTAAAATTGTCTGAAAATATGTGTGCATAATACATGTAGCATAAATTTAATAATTTTCTTTGTTATTGAACGGAGGAAAAATATTTTGTAATTTTGTCGCAAGATGAATAATTTTGCGAATGTATACAGGTATATATCCAGGGTATGTAAATGAACATTCGTACCACAATGTGGTAAGAAAAATTCGGCTGGAATCTCGAGCGAGCAATACGCGTCCCCAAATAAGCAGCCGTGCCCGAAAATACAGAGAGCGAATTTAAATTGTAAAAAAAGGCACGGGGGTCCAGAGAGCTGAAAAATATATATAATACATAAATCTTGCACTGTTCAAAAAATATTAGTTGAGAAAAAGAATTGATAAAACCAAGAAGAAAAAAGAGAGAAAACAACGATAGACACATTTCCCCACAAATCCCTATTTGACAATCATTTATATTTGTTTATTAATCCTTTTTCCTATTTCAAACATTTGATATCTAAAAAAAGTTTAAAACAAAAAAAAAGTTTAAAACAAAATTCTTTTTAAATATACAAAATATTAACAATTGTCCCGTTGTGATAAGATTTAAAATCTTTTAAGACACAATTATATATAAAGCTCTTTCAGTAAGTAGATTATTGACGAGAAGGAAAGCGCAGATCTGTTCCGCGGTTTTCCAATCGATTGCACAAAATAAACTGATCGATTTATTGCCAGTGGCATGGGGTTAATATATTTTTTCCATCAAATTTTATCAAATTAATAAGAATCTAACCGCACATCTTTTATTTTTATTAACAACGAATGCGTTGACTTTACTGTTTTTTATATGGCCAAATATTACTAGAATGATTCTCTGGCGTTTTCGGAATTTGTGAGCAAAAAGTCTTGACAGAAAAAATTCGAAAAATTTTCGGAATTCAAAAATATTGAAAAATACACACACATTTCCACGCGTTTCCCTTGTTCGGGGAATTCAATATAAGCGCAGATCAATTTCCACAATGTGCGAAAGTGACTCGCTAAAGTTCCACCGATCTTAATCTCCCGCAGAAAGCGCTATATTTCTCGTGAATCGATGAAGACAATTAAGATTTAACCGCCGGTCAAAACGAGCCAACTAAAAACGGAAGCTCCGTCGCCGACTATCGATTTTTATAAGCACATTTCGCCCCGTTCTTTCTTTCGTTTTCCCTCGAGATGCGCCGAAAAAGATCGAATTACCGGGCGGAAGAATCGACGTGAAACGTCGAGTTATCCAGGCCACGAATGGTATCCTGAGACTCGAGCGGGATTTATCATATTCCGGAGCTACGCGCGCGCGACTATGAAAGGGTAAAGTGATATTAATGACTTTAACGTGATGGCGGCTTTGTTTTCGGTGTTCCGCGTGTGCTGGGGTGAGTGTGCGCAAAGAGTATAAATCATGATTATCGTGGCAAAATTACGCGAAAGGAATTGCATAATTTGTATGAAACGTATCGTATAAATTTGTAAAAGTATTCGCGCGAAATATATATTTCAATATATATTGAATATATGTATTTGATCTGGATCTCCAGATTTTGATCTTTTTTTTTCCCACGTAGATTCATTGATCAGCATTTTCTTGCAATGATGTTGATCAATGTAATGATAATGATATCATTATTTAATATATAGGATGAATCAAAACTATCAAATGTCTTTTTAATAATAGATTAATAACAGAATTTTATTTCGAGACTTAGTTACAAAGATATATGATGGAAAAATTAAAAACTTATAAAAAATGATGACATCCTTCGATATTTTTGTTAAGAAAAAAATCCAAGTTGGCCAGAAAGAACATGCTATAAAAAGAATATTCATAAGTTTTGAAACACCCTATAGAAGTACCACAATCCAAATGTCATTCTGATTAAATAAAATTAATTCGAATACTTTGTTGTTAAAACATAATTTAATAAGTAGAATAATAAATAATTATAATACTATCGAATATATAATTAAACCACGGATAATTTATGTAATTTTAATGGGATTCGCCACACAATGATAATATTGTTCGAGAATTTATTGCATTCTGATAATTATTGTACCAGCAATTAGTATATTGATGATAGTTTCGTATTATTTTAGGGAAACTGCGCGATCGAACGCTGGAATCGATAATTTTATATTTTCGTTCGTGAGAATTATTTTCAATCTCCGACATTATCCGTGTTGTGTTCTCGATAGTCGGCACAGCGCAAAGTCGGTCATTTTGGATTAACATAGAATTAATTAACGATACGGAATATTTGATACCCCGACGAGGCGCATTCTCCGCGAAATTGCAAGCATAAATCGATGAACTGCGCGTTAGTCAATTAATATTAAAACTGTCGCGCAATTCAATTGACGACACTGCAGTATTTAATAAATAAATTAATTAGTTGCTCCCTTTTTGCGCATGTGTATGTGTGTGTGTGAGAGAGAGAGAAAGGGAAAGAGAAGGAGCGAACGGGATAGATAGAGGAGTGGCTGGGAGGGGAACGTACGACAGAGAAGATAGCGATGCTCGAACGTGATGCTATGCAACAACCGCGAGGGTTGTTTCGAACGACGACGGTAAATCGAATGATCATTTGATTCCTTTTGGATTGCGTGATAACGTATAACGCGCAGAGTCACGTACTGCGTGTCGCTGCGAGCGCGCCAAGAGATAATAAACGCGAGAGTGTTACTATTTAAAAAAAAACTATTTTTTAACGAAAAAATATTATTTATCTATTTGTTGAGATAAAAATTATACTCAATATTAAGAAGTATCCTATTTTTCGATTCGCTAGATACCTTTAATCCTTTAAGATATCCAAATTGCTACACAAATCATGATTTTCCATTATCAGTCATCTCACATGACGTTTCGCTATTCTGTGGCATCCTGTGGCATCCTGTGGCACAGATAACCGGCATTGATAAGCGACGGGGACGTCGCGTTTCTGATGAAAATCACGAAATTGAATCGTATCGCGCTCGGTCTCGTATTATTTTCCTCTCGTATCCGATATCCTTCATGGAATCGCATATTGCTGCCGAAAATTGCGCGTCTGCGACGAATCTGCGCGGCTGGCTGTCGAGGACTTTATTAGGCCGGAAATTAATTAACGCGCGCGTCACGCGCGCCCTGATCACTCGATCTCTCGGGATCGAGAAAGCTCGTTCGTTCGTTCGTCGCGAGAGCGTCCGATGTTGGTCACCATCAAGATCGACATCCCGCCGGCAATTAATTTCTTCAGCGCCGTCCTGCAGATTGAGTTAGCAGTTAATCTTTCGGACGTGCTAATGGCTAAAATATTCGATGATGACGAATATTTGCCGGTGCATCTTATATCATATCATACAATATCTTTTCGACGGGATATATACGCACAATTAATAATTATTATTATAAATTATATGATAAATTAATATATATATATTATATAATACATTAATTTATTATATTATATATATATATAATTACATTAAATCGTATTCTTTCGACATTTTAATATTAAATCGAAGTCGATCGACACTTTTACCGCGAAAACCACTCGATTTCGGGTGGTGAATTATATGACACGACGTGTGAAATTATATTGGCGAGGGTTTAAATGCGATCGCGGCCGCGATGTCGCGCCTTTCAACCAAAATGGATAAGAAATTTCCCCGTCGAGGAAAATACGGCACCAAACCCATACTCTCTTTTTCTCATAATGGGATGCCGGCGTCCTGCGCGATGTCGTCGACACCGAAAATCCTTTCTTATCGCGTTGTAGCGGAATGCAAATCAAGAGAACGCATTACGTACGTCTGTCCAAAAGGATAGAGTGAAATTCAATTAAGAATAATATAATGTGGAATTATATATATATATATATATAAGCGGAAAATTAAATACACAATTTCTGAAAAATTAATCTAACGTCAAAAGATGAAGAGATTATCCGAAAAATTATCGGAGATATTTCTTTTTTTTAACTAGAAAAAACAATCTTTATTAAATAAATAGTATATATATAAGTCATTGCAATGATAGCCTTCTCTTATCGCGCGTTGAAAATTGTACGACTTTGTAGGTAATTCCTTTTCATCTCTTTGAGAGTTTCCCCGACGTAGGGATTGAGCACAAAAGCGCACATTTTTCTCCGCAAAGGATTTTAGAAGTCTACTTCTCACTTTTTAACGTAGAGACGCTTACTTCCCTTTACGCGGACGCTCCTCTTTTCTTCTCGGCCAAAACCCGAGAGAAAGAGAGAAAGAGAGAACGGAACAAGGATTAACGAGTGTGCGAACTTTTCGGCAGGAGACGAGAAAAGGGGGAGAAGGGGACGGAGAGATCTTTTAATTAATTCCGGAAGCTCCTCGACCGGGGCCTGCTTTATTCCGAGTGCGATTACGGTCCCGGTATCAACCCCAAAAGGGTCGGCATCCTAAAGCGGGCGACCCCCAGGATCGATTCGACGAGCTGAGCTCGAACAACCAAAGTCGGCTGATGACGGTGC